CTCACTCACTCACTCACTCACTCACTCACCCATTGACCCGTCCATAACATACCCGACGCGCCGGCTAAGAAGTATTTTTTTTACAAAAAAATAACTCAAAAATTGGTGAAAAATCTTTAGAATTTTTTGCTAACAAAATAAAGAGTTGTGACTGGCAATCTACATTATCGAAAAATTACCCGAAAGAGTCATATGAATCATTCTTCAAAGAATTTTTTGAGATACAATCGAACCTCTCGTAAGCGACTACCCAAAATGTCAAGCTTAGGTGGTCGCTCACGGGAGCTAGGACAATACTGGGTCAAAATTTTGCCTCAGCAGCATATGGTAACTGCATAGACCTACCCCATGCACCAACGCTCATCTAACCCAGGTTATAACTGTTAGTGGCCTCAAAAATATTTAGTAAGCTTTCCAAAGTATTTATTCAGCGTATCACTCTGTTAAACTACCTAATAAGACGAACGGTGCAAGTCTGACGATAGTTACAAAAAGAATCTTTTATGTTGTCTGAACGTTAGGGGGAACTGAACATCAACTAATAAGGATTAGATTGCTACTGAGCTTTAAATTTGACAGCCCTATTTTATTGCTGGTGATTTATATGTTAACTGTTACTTGTTCTTCAGTGAACAGGAAATCAGTTCTAATTTCCTGTAATTATAAGACATTTTTAAAAGGTAAACATATTAAAAGAGATAACAATCTATGTATATCTAGAGGCCCAATAAAATCTTCAAAAACAAAAGAAAAATTATACAAAAAGTTCCTTTGGATCCTACAATAAATAATGAACAAAATTACAAAAAATGCCGTAATAAATTAAACCATCTAATACGAATTGCCAAAAAGAGTTATTATTGTAAAAAAATTTAGTCAAGCCCAAAATGATATCAGATCTACTTGGAATACTATCAATGAATTACTTGATAAACAAAGATTAAAAACCTCCTTACCAAGGTCGTTCTTAAATGATTATAATGAAGAGATTAATGATCCAAATATGATTGCAAATAATTTTTCCAATCTCGTTTAAGATTTCAACCATGACACAGACAAATTTTATAAATATCTTAAAGGTAATTGTAAAGATTCTATGTTTTATAAGAAACAAGTTGTGACGAGGTCAACAGAATAATAGATAAACTAGAATGCAAATCTAGTCGTGGTATTGATGAAATTAGAAGCAAAGTTATGAAATTTGTGCCTCCTTATGTATCTGCTCCAATAACTCACATTTTTAATTTGACCACAGGGAGCACACAATCTTGCTGAGTAGGGAGAGAGCTGGGGCAAATAAAGGAACGAAAAGAATGAATAGTTTACCGATTCTACATACCTTGTTAATTCATTTAAAGAGGAGGGATTCTCTCGAAAAACGAGTGTAAGTTTTCGGCTCCTAAAGATTTATAAACATGTCACGCCTTCTCAGAGGGATGATGTCAATTACAGAACCCCTAGCGTTCACAGTATGAAAAGTTGAGCTTCGCGGTCAAGCGATAGTGTTATGTCACGTTTTAGGCCCACACGTTTTAGGCCGGGGGTCGACAATAAAGGGCTTACAAGACGGCATTCTTGACGGACATGAAATCTCAAATTGAAAGTATTTGATGTAGGATCTCTGGATTAAGCCGTTTGCCGCGAAAAGGTCGCTGAGGAGTCCATGCCTTTTGGGGATTATGACACCTTGACAGTTTATCAACTTTTATTGAAAAACCTCTTTTTCACAATAACTGGCGCTCGTTTTAATATTTTATTTTCATTTTTCGGAAAATGTTACCTTGAATAATGAACTTTAATTTGGTTGGAAAAAAAGAAAATTTGGAAAAAGTGGCCCCGCGAAGGTTTGGAGTAACCTTAAGCCATTTTGTTGCACAAAACCTGCAATAAGCGGACATCACACATCGTTCAGCGACATCGTTTTAAAGCTAAGTGATTATTCCAGATTGATGCATTGATTGATTGGACACTGTATATTAGCAGACTTAGCTGGTCTTTGATCCTACAATGTGTTACACTGCATTACAAAAGGGTTATTAATTAACTATAATTGAACAACGTACTAGAACCTGTTTTGAGCGCACACCCTGTATTAAGCGAACACTAGTGAGGGCCCCAAGGCTGTCCGCTTAATACAGATTTCACTGTTTCAGCTTGAATAACAAAGTACTTCCATCCTATTTTGATGACTTGTGTGTAGAGAACTTTAAAGTGCATAATTGCACTACTAGAGGATCAAAGAAGTTCCACAAGACTTTTAACAGAACAAATTATAGGAAATACTCTACTAGGGAAAAGATAATTAAAATTTGGATTGAAATGCTAAAGACCATTGAACGCTCTGTATCATTAAAAATCTTTAAAACGGAAATAAAGCAGTTTATTTTGCATAAGTGATACTGACATAGAACTTCTTCTTTTTAATCGACTTCTTTCTGATTATACTTAGAATTCCACACAAAATGAGCTTAACTTTATCAGGTAATTACATTATTTACAACGGGTTGCAAATTTTATAAAATCCCAATCTCTGATCCCATCTGACTGAATTTAGACATAGTTACTTTAAAAGGGAGACTGCTTTGTAAAAGCCCGCGAGGGTTTCCTTAGTCTTACTCCCAAATGCAAATTGTAACAGTCAAATATACATGCTGTATTGATTATTTCATTATGGGAAATAAAGTCATTCATTCATTCATCATTCATTCAAGTTTAATCCGGGAGTTAGATACACCTGGAAATACACCGCGTTAGGGAATCCTGTCTTCACTCATAAGAACGAATTTCTGTCTGGTTATAATCAGTATGACGTGGTGATTAGCATTTCCGGGTAGTTTTAGCCTGCGAGCGCGAGCAGGCTCACGTTGGAGCACAAGCTCGAGCGGCGTAGCCGCGAGCGCGAATTCGAGCAGAGTCCACCCCACCGGATCACGTCGCTCTTGGCCGCTCACGCGTGTGACTCAAAGGTGAGCCTGTTCGCAGATTAGGGTAGCTTTTGAGCAGGCAGACCTCACGCGCTGCAAGCACATTCAAAGCGGTTTTTATATGGGGGAGGGGGACCAAAACTTTATGGAGCAGGAGGTATATTTACCTATTGTATTTCAACAATAGGTTCACCATGTGACTGCATATGCAAAGTCTCAGAAGATCAGATTTGTTTGAAGGTTCTCGAAGTTGGAATCTATTTGCAGTAAACCTGTTTTAACCGGGATATTCAAGAAACTTCAGGTTAGCAATGTAATAATTTTAAATAGTACATAATCCACTGTCGGTAAATGGTAAAAGAGCCACAGCTTCTTTGCAATTTAGTAAAAGCGAAACTGCAAGTCCGGGAATAAAAGTATTAACTTCCGGTGCTATTTCCGCCCATCTCATGAGACTTCTCAACTTTATTGGTGCACTAAACTTTAAATGAGTTCAAAGTAGTGCTCGGCCGACTTGACGGAGTTAGTTTATTGCCAAAAGATATATCACTTGACGATGCGATATTCTTTCTGTACGAGTTAACACGCAGTCTATGCTTTTTCGATATGAACTTCCTGGACTATATACTATATAGTCCAGGTAGTTCATATCGGAAAAGCATATGTATCCTTCCTTGGCTTTCTCATAATTTGTTCGCATTAGGAAAATGTTTTGTTTTCTAGTCACGAGATGATATATGTAAGCCTGAGCGAGTAATTGAGCTTAAATCGACTCAAAAACGATTTGCATATGCATGACCTGTCATTTTTCGACAAGACATGCCAGAATCTCCACCGATGGAAATACCGCAAACAGTCACTGACATTACCGATAGAACGAAAAATG